GTCTGAACTGTGCTGCTCCTCCCAAACACACCTGGGCCCCTTTCCTGGCCACCTTCCCAAGGCAGCTTTGCTGCCCCGAGCAGATCAAGTACGGGCTCATCGCGAATCACTTTGGGATTGCAAAAATCGAGATTAGCTGTTGCAAAAATCAAGATTAGCTGTTGCAAAAACCAAGCCGGATGAGCTTTGTAGGGCAAAAATCACATGTGATCAGAAACGGGAGTCAGTGACTGAAGTTACAGGTCTCAGGTTGAATAAGAGGATTCAAAGGTGCTGGGAACTTCCCTTGGCTGGGTAAATTCACTCTTGAGAACAGGATCTTGTGCTTAAGGTGTATGTTTAGTCTTCATTGAACTTAGATTATTAAGTGAAAGTGGGAAAACGTAAGCAGATGAGTTTGTGAACCTTCTCCTTACTGCTGGCACTTCTACTTAGCTCTCCCAGGGATCCCAACACACTCGTCACTGCGTTTGGGCAGAAAACTAAATGGATTTCTGCTTCCAAGTGTATTTTCTGACATTAGGTGCCATTACTGACATCTCCATCACTCTGGCATCCTCTGAGATGCCCTGTGGTGTACTTAAAATGAGTCACTAACAAGAAGTACTTACATATTTTTTATTTAATTGCAAAGGGTCTGAGAGAGTCCTGTGACCATGAAGTCCGCAAGGATTTTAAGCTCGCCATGGAAATGGGCCAGCAGCTTCCCTTGAGCAGGGAAAAGTGAATTTCTGTCTTCCAGTCGTACTTATTTATTTAATCCAGCTGATGTGGTTATGAATGAAGGAGTCAGGCGCCTGTCCCAGGGATATGATCTGCTGCAGGACAAAAACTTCAGGTCAGTGGGAAATAATGTCCCAAGTAGGAATTTAGCAGAAGGCACCAGAATGTGGCACAAGTGGTCAGAAATAATAAACGTACCACAAGCATTTGGTTGAGATAAATGTTCTGATTTTTTCCCCTGGGAGCAGATGGAACGAGTGCAATTTAAGTAGTTTCCCTGTAGGTCTTGTGTAACTTTGGCTGCTGCAGAATGTTTTACCTCGCTGCAGAAGCAGATGCTGCCAGCAGCACCCTGCTTGTGGCACTCGATGGTCCACGGTGTCCCTGCCACCACCCCAGTAAGGGGGATATGGTCCATGCTAACCCAAGGAGCACCGTGCCCGTCATTTTGCTCAAGCCAAATACCTCCCAGCAATTAGAAGTGATTCTTAATTCTGTATTAAAGCATCGTATCTTTTTGGCAGATTAAAAGTGTGCTTTTGATGTTTCTAGAGCAAATTTTTTAAAATCCAGGTACTGACATAAATGACACGTGTCAGAAGGATGCGAAGTCAGTGGAGGTGTAGTCACACTTTCTTCATTATCTGCATTATAACAGAAAGAGTTTTATTCATGTATTACAGAATCATAGAATTGTTTAGGTTGGAAAAGACCTTTAAGATCATCAAGCCCAACCATTAACCTACACTACCAAGTCCACCACTAAACCAATTAAGGGGAGAGTCATGATTAACTTCATGTTTCCTGGCTTGCTGGCTGGATTATATTTTTAATGAAAGTAAAGCTAGGAATCATTAAGTTTGGAAAGGACCTCTAAGATCATCAGTCCAACCATCAACCCAACACCCCCATGCCCACTAAACCGTGTCCCCAAGTGCCACATCTGCCTGGTTTTTGAACCCCTCCAGGGATGGGGACTCCCCCACCTCTCTGGGCAGCCTGTTCCAATGCTTGACCACCCTTTCTGTGAAGAATTTTTCCCTCTTATCCAATCTAAACCTCCGCTGATGCGGCTTGAACCCATTTCCTCTCGTCCTACCGCTAGTTACTTGGGAGAAGAGCCCAACACCCCCCTCCCTGCCCCCTCCTCTCAGGCAGCCATAGAGAGCCATGAGGTCTCCCCTCAGCCTCCTCTTCTCCAGCCTAAACAATTGTATTGTACAGGGTCTGGCTTCCAACACTTGTTCTTTTTATTGCAACCCTGACTCTTGCGATCCTTTTGCCGGTGCTGCTAACTCCAGATGTCCAGGAATCTGTACCCGGACAGACGTGCGTAAAGGCCTGGCCCTGGTGCTCCCCAGGCGACACCCGCAGCCGAGCAGGGCAGAAGCACAGGGCTGCGGCCAAGCATCGCCCCACGGCAGCGCTGCCGCTGCTTCGCTCTTCCCACGAGCACCTTCCCAGCTTTCCGCTTTCAGCTTGGCTGCACGGGTGGATACAAAACACCGCTCACAGGCTGATGTCGAGGGAGTCATTCTCAAGATTTCAGTGTAACCAGCGACTGTGGCAAACTGGGTGGCTACCTTTGGTGGGACAGGCTGTGTTTCTGAGAGCAGACAGTTTTAAGTGGGACTTGCTGAAATGCCTTTGCACAAACAGCTAATTCATCGGTAAATGAATAGCTCCCTCCCTCAGCTTTCCCACTTTTTGTAGTTTGCTAGGAAAAGTGCGTTTGGCAAGCTGCTTTTCATAGCCTGATGTGGAGAAATATTGAGGGGAGAAATCGGTGCTCCGTCTCAGTTCATCCTAACATCGCTGCAGCCACGTAGTCAGTGTTTTATCAGATGTGGAGATTTCTGGAAAGATGCTCAAAACTCATGAGAAAATTACCCCGGGGTGGGTATTGCCTAGTGACGTCATCTGGGTGCTGTTTCGTTTGCTGTGATCATTGCAACCATTCTTGGAGGGGCTGGTGGTGGTCCCAGAGGGTTTGCCCAGTCGGGAGCTCTTGGGGGAACAGGGGTGGCTGCACCATGCTGGGGTGCAGCACCTGGCCCAAGGGGTGGCTGGGCCAGAGCCCACAGGAGGGAGATAGCCCCAAACATGGGCTCTGTGTCGCTGCCGCCGCTCCCTGCTCCTCCCCACCACGCTGTAGCCCGACAACGGATGAGGTTAATTGTTCGCTCTGGTTCTTTTTGCTCATGCAAACTTAAAAACCTCCTCCAGTGCCTTGTGCGAGGGGTGCCCGCTGTTTGCAGGCTGGCCTGCGCCAGCCTCCGGAGCTCACTCAGCACAAATACGGGAAAAGGCTGCGAGAGGGTAGTCCTGACCTTCAGCATAACCCAGACACTGTTCCCAGAAGGAAGAGAAGCTGGTTATTGTTGACGTTGGTGGTGCCGTTGTCTGGGAAGTCCTGCCCCCCCTATGGGAGCGAAGCCCCACCATTAATCACTCGGTAGCTCTGCAGGCTGGAGTGAGGCCAGAGGGCAAGAGGAAAGGGGCTGCCTGGGCTCCTGCGGCAGAAAAGCTTTTTCTTTTAAGATCTTGACTGCTGGAAAAGTCATCAACAGGCTTCACAGTAAATGTTAACTGTTTGCATCCCCTCCTTCGCAGCTTCTGCTTGGCTTGTCCCTTGCAGAGCTGGCAGTTATTGGAGACTCCAGGGGTGGGGAGTTGATACCGGGCTGTTAGTGTAGATACGAGTTATTTAAAATGCTCTGGTCTACTCAACACCCAAACGCAAGTCCCCTGAGGACAGCCTCACCCTGCGCCCCAGGAGCAGTGAGCTGGGTGCCCAGCTCCTCTCTCCAGCGGTTGTTTCTGCAAAAGAGAAAAGTAAGGCAGCTTGCAGCAGCTGTGTTTGGAAAGATGCTTGCTCAACTGCTTGCCTGTTTTTGAATGTCCTGGCATTTCTCCCTCCCGGGAGCCACCCGTCTGCCCCATGGAGCACTGGGACGCAACGCGTGCCTGTGGGGCTGCAGGGTGGGGACCCTGCGGTGGCACGCTCTCAGCCTGATACTCCGTCACTCCCTTATCTCCACTCTGCAGTCGCTTCTTGTTTCTTCCAGGAAACATTTAAGCAATGTAATGAAACTTTCCTTGGCTTGAATCACCTATAATTTACCCTGACATAAATCATAAGGAACACAAAGTTGAGAATGTGAAGCTGGCATAAAGGCAGAAAGCGGTCTTTCAGAGTGTGTTTGCTCAGCGTTTTGCACAGAGGCACGCTGGCTTTGCCCCGCTCCACGTGAGCCAAGGGCTGTGGCCGGAGCTGGTGCCGTGCTGCCTGACCCTGCCAGGGCTGCAGCCACCACGCAGCCCCCGTCCTGCTCAGGGAGGGCAGAGCAAGCTCCTGGCAGCCCTGAGGGTACAGTCATAGCTGGATCCCAGAGCCTGTCACAGCATCTGTCTGCTCTGGGTAACTGCAGCTGCATCGCGTAACATACATTTGCTCTCGGTTGTCCTTTAGGAGCGAGCTGTCTGCTCCTGCTCGCTCTCCTAGGGATGTTTCCTCCTTTCTTGTATCTCTTCCATAGATGCTATTCTTCTCAAGTTAAAGTGGTTGTTGGTAGGCAGCCCCGGGGGGTCAGCAGGGCAGTGTGTTTCATAGAATCATAGAATCGTTTAGGTTGGAAAAGACCTTTAAGATCATCCAGTCCAACCATTAACCTGACACTACCAAGTCCACCACTAAACCAATTAAGGGGAGAGTCATAATTTCATGTTTCCTGGCTTGCTGGCTGGATTATTTTTTAATGAGTAAAACTAGGAATCATTAAGGTTGGAAAGGCCCTCTAAATCATCATTCCAATCATCAACCCAACGCCACCATGCCTGCTAAACCATGTCCCAAAGTGCTACGTCTACACGTTTTTTGAACGCCTCCAGGGATGGGGACTCCCCCACCTCTCTGGGCAGCCTGTTCCAATGCTTGACCACTCTTTCTGCGAGAAATTTCTCCTAATATCCAATCTATACCTCCCCTGATGCAACTTGAACCCATTTCCTCTCGTCCCATTGCTTGTTCCTTGGGAGAAGAGCTCAACACCCACCTCACTACACCCTCCTCTAAGGTAGTTGTAGAGAGCGATGAGGTCTCCCCTCAGCCTCCTCTTCTCCGGACTAAACACCCCCAGCTCCCTCAGCCGCTCCTCATAATGGCTGCAATGGCTGACAAGGGAAAGCGCGTTCCCCGCTTCTCAAGCTGCACAGAAACTCACGCTGCCCATGCCCATCCCGCGATGTGACCTGACCGCATCCTTCTGGCTCTTGCAGAGTTTGCTGTTTCACTCGTGGAGAAGATGCAGGCTCAGGAAATCCTGCGGAGCCTGCGGCTCCCCGAGTTCGATGACCTCAGCCAGTTTTTCCGCAACCTGCCAGCCACGGCGCTGGTGGGCATCGGTGCCTTCGCGGCCGTCATCGCCTACTGGTTTGCCAGCCGGCCCAGGGCCGTGAAACCGCCCTGCGACCTGCAGATGCAGTCGGAGGAAGTCGAGGTGAGGCCAGGGGCACCCCGGCGGGAGGGGCTGGGTTTCACCCGAGGTTTGCACACCAATGACCACAGGGGATGCCAGGAGATGTTTTTGTTTGTCTCGAGGGCTCCCCAACTTCATCCTGAAATCAGTCGTGTAACGTGCTATGCTAGGGATCACTTCATTCCTTAATTCACCTTTTCCTGTAAACTGGAAAACTAGAATACAGCCCATTAATTTATTCTCTTAGATTTGCAGTAACATTTAGGTCTTAGCTTTGCTTAACCATCCGTGACTGAGAGTTGCAGGAGCTGCCATTGCATGGGAGAAACCATTGAAAGGCAACAGCTGATAAGATCAAATCAGCCGGCACTTCTTGTGTGTGCCCGTTACTGAATTTACTGCTGCAAACTTTGTAATAATAAGAAAAAGTAGACCCAAATCCATGCTTAGAGGCTGAGGAGTTATTAATTTTCATGCTTGCAAGAGGTTTTAAAGTTTAATGACGCTGCTCTGCTTTAAAGAGCAAGAACTATTTCTGAAAATTGTTTCCACTTAAATTAATATCTGCAAGTGTGATAAGAATTTTTAAAGCCTTTTGTGATGTCCCCTCTAAAACCTTATTGTCTTTAATTCCAACACTTTTTAAAAGAGTGGGAGGACTTTACATTTTCCAAGACAGTTTTCCCCTGTGGGTAGGGGCTTTAGTGAGACTTTCTTCTGGCTCACAGCGCAGTCCTGGTTTGGTCAGTCTCACCCTGCCTGCCTCCCCTTGCCCACTCCTAAACCCCCCCTACTGAATCCACGCGCTGGGGTTTGCAGTCTGGCCTCTGCTTTAGCCTGCCCTTCGTGTTGGTCTAGATGTCCTTGAGAAGGTGCCCGTGGTGCCAGTCCTGGGGACCTGTGGAGCCCAGAGCACTCGCTCCCTCCAGCACGTCCCCACTCTGTTACTTGCAGATTTATAATTCCTCCTCAGATCTCCTTGGGAAATATCAGTCATCTCCTGTGGCAACGAGCCAGGTCAAGTGCTCCTCTCTGGGAAGGTGGTTTTCCATGTTACTGGGATGTGGAGGTGGACAGGACCTCTCCCGTCACTTTGGGTGCTGGGGCAGGAACACGGTGGTGTCTGCAGAGGCCTCTCCAGCATCTGGGGAGTGTGCTGTTTTATGGTTCAGGGATTCCCCATCGGGCGGTGCTGACGGCTGTGTCTCATCGTGTCATGTCATGTCACACAGGGCTTGGCTGGGGCACGTCGGTCGGTGATTGGGGACAGCCCGCAGCTGCTGACGCACTACTACGACGACGCCAGGACCATGTACGAGGTCTTCAGGAGGGGATTCAGCATCTCCGGTGAGAGCACGGTGACAAGGAGGCCCAGGAGCAGGGGTGGAGGACCAGATGATGTAGAGGCCCAAATGGTGTAGGAGGCTCAAAGGGAAGCTCAGAGACCGTAGAGGCTGAAAGAGGGTGGGAGCCCATAAAAGTGTGGGAGGCCCAAATGATGTAGAGGCCCATTAGGACTCAAATGCCAAAGGAGTGTGGGAGGCCCCAAAAGGAGCAGGAAGCCACCAGAATGTGGGAAGCCACAAAATTGTAGAAGTCAAGAAAGTGAGAGGTTGAAAGAACGGGGGAAGCACAAATAGTGGAGAGGCTGAAAAAGTGTAGGAGGTCCCAAGAGTGCAGGAGGCACAAAGAGAGTAGAAGCAAAAAGAGTGTGGGAAGCTGAAGGAGATATGATTGCTGAAGAAGAGAGGGAGGCTGAAAGAGTATGGGAGGCCAGAAAAGTGTAGAGGCTCAGAGAGTGTAGAGCCTAAGAGACGTGTGGGAGGCCCAAAGCGTTTAGAGGCCAAAAAGTTGCGGGAAGACCAGGAAGAGTGGGAGAACCCACGAGTGTTGAGGTCTAAAAGGTGGGGAATGCCCAACAAGTGTAGAGGTCGAAAAGGTAGGATGCCCAAGGAGTGTTGAGGCCGGTAGAAGGTGTTGGGAGGCCTGTAGAAAGCATGGAGGCTGATGAAGTGCAGAGGCTGAAAAAGGTGTTGGGAGGCTGACGAGGTGTAGAGGCTTATAAAGGTATGGTAAGCCAATGAGGTATGGGAGGCTGACAAGGTGTAGAGACTGAAAAAATGTGTTCGAGGTTGATGAGGTGTGGGAAGCTTGAAGAAGTGTGGGAGACCAGCGAGGTGTGGGAGGCCAAAAGTGCACGTGAGAACAAAAAGGCGTGGAAGGACAACAAGGTGTGGAGGCTGATAAAGATGTGGGATGCCAAAAAGGTATAGGAGGCCCATTGAAAGTTTAAAGGCCCAAGGAGTGTAGAGTCCCCAAACTTGTAGGAGGCCCAAGGACTCTAGAGGCCCAGAGAGTGTGAGGCCGAAAAGGTCTGAGAGATCAAAAGAGTATATGAGGTCAAAATATTATGGGAGGATGAAAAGGGGTGGGAGGCCCAGTGAGCGTGTGGGAGGATGAAAATGTGTAGAGTGGCCAAAGAAGTGAAAAGGCCCAAGAAATGTGGGAATCCACAAAAGTGTGGAAGGTCAAATAAGCGTAGCGGCCCAAAGAGTGGGGGTGCCAAGAAGGTGTGGGAGGGAGGGGGTGACTGAGAGGCCCAGCTGGTGTGGGAGGCTCAGCAAGTGGACATCTCGGAGAATGGGGGCCCAAAGAGTGGAGGCCTATAGAGTGGGGAAAAAAGTGAAGGGAGACCCAGAGATGGAGGCCCAGAGAGTGGGAGGGCTGAGGGGCAGAGGCCAGCAGAGTGGGAGGTCCAAGGAGTGGAGGCCAAGGAAGGAGGAGGCCGAGTGAGGGGCAGGGCGGGTGCCGCTTTTGGAGCGTGGGGGTATAATTAGGGTTATTATTTGCAACGTGCAGTATTTTGCCCGTAACGCCACTGAATTTTACTGTGCAGTCTCTTAGTACCACGAGATCTTTTTGATGCCACTGGCAGACAGCTTAATGTCCTGAATTTTGCAGCATCAGCAAAGCTCATCATACATTATTCATTTCCAGAACATTTATGAATATATTAAATGGGGCTGATCCGGGCATAGAACTGTGAAACCCAACAGAGCTCTTCCTCCGCTGCAAACGCTGATACTTATTTCTGCTTGTTGCTGCCTTTTTGTCAGTAACTCATCCAGCTTACATTTTATTCCACAACAGGGCAGGGTAAGGGACTCTGCCAAAAGCTCTTAGGAAAGCTGAGTGTGGTGTATCAGTCCATCGCCCTTACCCCGTGATCGACGGTACCATCAAAGAGCTCTCACAACTTGTGAGACATCGTTTCCCGCTCCAAAAAGCCAAACTCTTCCCTGCTATATCATAACTATTTCTGTGTTCAGTGCTTATAACGTCCTGCCTCGTTGAATACACCAATTTCATTGTCAGATTAGGATTTTCGGTACCACCAAAAGCCTCAGTGGAATTGCAAATATTCCACCCTGCAGGACAGGGGCAAATAAATAGCTCAGTAGGTGTATGGAGGGATGGGTCTTGTGCAGGTAAGTAGAGTCAGCGAATTAATTAAACTTCTCAAATATTCCTCCTGTCATGTAGTGCTGCGTATTGTCTTACCCTCCTCCAGAGTAGGCTGTGCTAAAAATAACAGTTGTCACTTTGAAGTGTTTAAATCAAAAGGCAGCGAAAGCAGTGGGAGCTGGTGTTTGGGATGAAAGCCCTCATCAGACGCTAATGCTCACGCTACCTTCGGAGAAATGTCTTTTAATGAGGCTGTTTGGGGGCACACTGCTGCTGTCCCCTCTGCAGCTCAGGGAGGAGGGTTGGCGCGACTGTTTGGGAGCTCCCAGCAGCCGGTCTCCCATTGCTGCACTCGTGCGATTAATTTGATCGGGCTTGCTGTGAGCTCTGCCCCCGGAGCGAGAGTCGACCTCGATAACAACAGATTTACTGTTTGAGGGCTCTGCTGCTTCCCCGCAGCATGGTACTGGGTGGCGCGTTAACTCCTGGCACTGCCCCCGTAACTCCGACATCTCTGCTTGTGTCTTCCAGAAAACGGCCCCTGCCTGGGGTTCAGGAAGCCCAAGCAGCCCTACCAGTGGCTGTCCTACAAGGAGGTGAGCTGGAAATGAACCCCCCCACAGAGTCCTCTCCCCCAGCGCTCTCACCCTGCCCAGCAGAAGAAGGGGTGTTAAGGCACCCATCACGCATGTTAACATGCGTTAACACGCACGTGCTAGACCGGGAGGTTGCTAACGCGCCGTGCGAGGGCTCTCGGTTTCCCCGGTTGGGCACATCCCGGTGTTGTGCAGGTGCATTGGCTTTCGGGGACTGGCACAGTGGCGTTCGCCCGCTCCCAACAGCGGCACTGACACGCTCAAAGCCGTGGGGTGTTGCCAACCACAGGCCAACTACTCATGGCTTCTGATAACATAAAAAATTGGGCTTTTAGGTAGCAAATACAATAATTTGAGAGCCTCCCTGTATAGCTAAGTCTTTGCTTAGTTTGGTATTGCTTATATTTCTCTTTTTTATGTATTTTTTTTTCTCTCCAAATTCCAGGTGGCTGAAAGAGCAGAAGCTCTGGGTTCAGGGCTTCTTCAGCAGGGCTGCAAGCCATGCGCAAAGCAGTTCATTGGAGTTTTTGCTCAAAACCGTCCAGAGGTGAGATTTTAAGTTCAGCTTGATGATGTATTAACAATGTTCCTGACTTGTGAGCTTGCTTTATACTTGAAGCTTGTTCTCAAGCGCGTGAAATCTGCTTCCACGGCCCCCTTCTCACCTTCACGCTTTGATGTCCTCCTGCAGTGGATCATTTCCGAGCTGGCTTGCTACACCTACTCCATGGTGGTGGTTCCCCTCTACGACACCTTAGGTCCTGGAGCCATTCGTTACATCGTCAACACAGGTAAAACCAAAAGTGCTGTAATCTTCTCAGAAATGAGTTTTGTTGCTCGGAATGGTTCATTTTCTTCTGCTTTCCAAAAGATGGGTGAATTTTTCTCATTGAGTGTCTTGAAGTCACTTAGAAAGGTTTCTGGGGAGCTGGGCGTCCCCATGCTGGGTCAGGGTTGCCTCTGCTGCATTTCCTACATGCCTGGTCATGCACAGCCATGGATGGGGCTGCTCTGACAGTGGGAATTACTCCAGGGTCACCTTGTTTGGCTGCTTTTCTTCCAGCTGACATTTCCACAGTCATTTGTGACAAACCTGAAAAAGCCAGAATACTCCTCGACCACGTGGAGAGGAGAGAAACACCAGGTCTGAGCTCCATCATCTTGATGGACCCGTTTGAGAAGGAGCTGATGGAGAGAGGGAGTCGCTGTGGGGTTCGCATCCAGACCATGCAAGAGGTGGAGGTACGTTTGCTCTCCTTCTCTTTTTACTGTATTTTTGTCGTTTCTGTAAAAAGACAGTAAAATATATGGGACTTGTGAACTGCGTGGCAGGTTCAGTGTCTGGAGAGCACAACAGAGCAGCTTGTGGCTGTTAATATTGATGCAGTTGCAGCTGCAAGGTCAGTGCAGTTGCCTCTGAAGTGTTATTCCTTGTTGACAGGAGCCAACATTTCAATCCTTCCTGCTCAAATCAGATATCAGCTGTTAACTGAGCCTGGAAAGGGGGGTTGCTCTTGGAGACACTGTCCTCCTACTTGTAAGCCTACAGCCTTACACTTTGGTGAAACAGCCTGGATCCAGCTCAACCAACCCAGGCACTACTTGAAATCCAAGGAGTGCATTGCAGCTGATGCAAGAAACTTAGAAAACATAGAAAAGATGACCTAAGCGTTAGCCACAAATTTTTCTGCTCTGGCTCACGCTCTCCCTTAGTGCTTTGCAGATCATTAGCAAGTGGCTTACACCACAGGAATTAAAGTGGAAATCATTTTTGTTGCTTTAATCTCTTTCAGGACTGTGGCCTTGAGAGTCGACATGTGCCTGTGGTGAGTGGTGGCATGCTGCTTTTCCCACTTACAATTGCAGCTGGCTACGTTACATTTATTTCACTGACGAAAGAGGGAAGGGTTTGCTCGGGGCAGAAGGAAGCGTGTGTGTGCGCAGGGGGAGTGCCCCAGGACTCCTCCACGTGGGAGGCAGCGAAGGAGCCCAGGGACCGGCGATACCATCCACCGGAGATGCACAGTATTTGCTTCATACCCTCCGCCTGGGACACTTAACTGAGATAATTTATCCTTGCTGAACACATTAACGGGACAGTAATTAAATTCCACTACCTTACCCAGGCAGCACCGGGGCAATGTGTTTGCACCCTTGGCTTTCCGGTGGGGTTTCTATAGCTCAGAAACACTACTTGGCAGTATTTCTCTGGGATATTTTTGGAAAATCACATCGGTATCTTTCACTGGCTGCTCATACTTGTGCAAAACTTTCAAAAGCAGCCCCTGATTTTCAGGCCGCTTATTTATTCATTCGTGACCCAAAATAGTGCACATGTGCAGTGGTGCTGAGAACAGACTGGAAATGGGAACAATCGGCAGCTTCGGAAGGTTGTCCCCTGTTGTGGATAACCACAGGTTTCCAGAATTTATCTGGAAATCAGTAAATTATCTCAAGTTTTCCCACAACCCTATAGGTATAGATACTGTCTTTGAAAATAGTAACTGCAAGACAAATATTCCATCAAAGTCTTTTTACACTAAAGCATGCCCTTAATGCAGCCTGGAGCAAAACATAAGGGAGGAATAAAGTCTGCATCAACTGAAGAAACCTGATGAAAAGAGTTTTGTGATGGTCTTTTATATTTGCCAAGGGGAATGAAAGCTTTTTATGGCAGAGCTGAAATATAATTGGTTTGATCTTTAAGTTTATACAATGACAGCAGTCTCCCATTGACCCTTCTGCATTGACTGATGTGATTTTCTTATTCTCCTTGTGTATTTCTAGCCCCCGCGACCAGAAGATCTATCAATTGTCTGTTTTACTAGTGGCACTACAGGTAAAAGAAGAGGCGTTTTAATCTTGAAATGTTAGAATAGGTTATCAAATTAGTTATTAATACCACTTCAATATGTGCGAACTTGCCGTTATACTGATATGGCAGTGATATTTCTATGCATTTTTAATATTTAAGAATATATATGTATATACACTTCTGTAGATAGCAAATCAAAAATAGTGGTACATTTATTTTTCACTTGAATTCCCAGCCGTCCCCTTTGGCAGTACGATTTTCCAGTTGCCTGGAAATCTGCCCACGTTTCTGCTGCCCATTTTGCAGTGTAGTTGTGAAGTGCTTGATCGATTGGTGTTTATCTTCTGCAAATGTTAAAAAAAAAAAAAAAAGAAATGCAGGTCCACAGCTTTCCATTCTCTGTGTCCTAAGCACAGCAGAGGTCCCAGACCCACCAACATCCCCAGCACCTCTGTCTCCTCCACAGCGTGCCCCAGCTTGCTCCTGTGTTGCCCGTGTCCTCGGGTTGGCCCTGGGGCACCACGTGCTGGGGCAGGTGCGGGGACGAGCCTGGGCAGCCCATGCTGCTGGTACTCGCACGCCGCTGGCCCCTTTTTCTTGGAGAGGACAGCATCGTTTTCCTGCCCATTCCTAGCAGATGCAGTCCTTTCTCCTCTCTCCAGACCCTGGTTTTCGTACAGCTTGCAGGAATTTCCTACTTTTGAGAATTCGACCTCCGTAACATCTACCAAAAAGCTATACAGGCAGAAAGCGCAGATGCACAAGGCATGATTGCTTGGGAAACTGCTTTTATACTCACCTGCAGGGAAGGACCATGCTCCAGGGATCACTGGAGCAGCTCTTCCAGGTTCACCTGTGCTTTCAGGATTGCCTACCTGTCGTGGTTTAGCCCCAGCCAGCAACTAAGCA